TTGAAGATAGCAGATTCAAATGCACAAGGTGTTTAAAATCGATTTAAGAAATTACATTTTGAATTTAAATAGTTGTACTGATATGTACAAACTAATATTGTTGCACAGTTGAACTTGTATGACATGCATTCTTTCTGATGAGAGGCGCAACAAAAAACTGTAATCAACTAAGCACACACCAAAAGAATTAATGATAGGTCTTGTTGACAAAATAAATAGGTTTGGTGTAATAAAACAATTACCAAGGACATTTTCATTGGTAGTGTTATTAAATTATAAAGATATCTTCAGTTTTATGTGATTTCATCTCATCAGAAACCTGACATGGTTATGTATACATGTCCTAGGCCTTGATTATGATGCTTCAAAATTCAATCTTGTGTTATGAAAGGAACTTTGGCAATAGGATAATACTAATTAAGTTTTATATTACTCATGGATATGGTCTTGCTGAGGATATCATTTAAGAAGTCTAAGTTGTCCTATCTATGGAATTAGAGGAGGTTGTGTATAAAAGTATTATGAGGGCATATCTTGTTGGCTGTCAGCTCCTTGCAGGAAATACCGCACCCAAAAGGTCAAAACTATGTTGTTAAGATGTATCACGTTGAGGCATGCTACACAACTGCATTTCTTGTTAAACAACCTCATTTAACTTCGTTGGACAATGTATCAAAACTCAATGTATGAAGAACATTTGAGTGCAGGTGTGAAATCATTCCATCCTGAGTGGGTTACAATGAGCTAGTGACTTGGGAAGCCCACATCACTAGTAGGTTGGTTACTAGTGGTGTGCCACGGTCACACCACTAGTAACCACTTATTAGTCGCATGATACTAGTGGTGTGCTGCTTACATGCCACTAGTGACAATTTTGGCACACTACTAGTAGGCTTTGATGTACTAGTGGTTGTGTTGCAAGAATAATCATATTTACGCATGGGTCCATGTGACCTTTTCCTATAATTAGAAAGAAAAATCATGTTTTCAACATTTAAATTTGTGAAACCATGGAAAATGGAAGCATGCCAACATGAACTTTGCTATATAAATAAGATTGTCTAAGAGTTGTAAAAATCAGAAGATGAAATATGCAAGATAAGTTACATAATATGTAATGTATCTTATTTTTTGGTAATTTAATCACATCTAGAAAAATCTTTGTATTACCAATTTCACAAGAACTAGTTTCTACCCATTATATTGTTGTTTTTAATAATTTTGTAAGTTATAAATGTGATCATTAATTACCATGTACAAACTGAGAAATTGTATGAACCTAAGTTCACATAATAAAAAGAAAGAACATGGAAGATCAACTCTCAAAATAGAGAAATAAGCTAATGAACAAAGAGTATCACTTACATCCTTCACTAGTCAAGGCGAGACAAGGAAAATGTTTAGTGAAACGAAATTGCATTGATTAGTACAATGCACATGTGCATTATGACGGTGACAAAAGAAGATCGGAGTTTTGAACATGTGTGATAGCTTCTCTACCATTCAGGTATTTGGAAAATCGCGTCCATCACAGGAAACTCCTTAATAAAGAATGGAAGATGATGGAGGATCGCTTCGAGATGAAACTTAACAATTGGAAAGGAAAGCTTTTGTTCCATGGGGACATGATAATCCTTGTCAATGTGATACTCACTATCCTATCGATGTGTATGATTTTATTATTTGAGATACCAAAAGAGGTACGAAAAACAATGGAATATTACATATCCATATTTTTCTGGAAATGTGATGAATAGAAAAGAAAGTATCAGTTGGTCATGTGGACTGTTATATGCAAGTAAAAAAATACCAAGGTGGACTAGTCATCGAGGATCCCATTATAATGCTTACCTCCCCACATGTGTGGTTGTACAAATTACTTAACAAGGATGATGTTTGGCAGGAATTCCTATGGAATCAATACCTCCACTCAAAACCAGTACATGAGTGACATGAAAGCATTAGAATTCTCCTTGTTGGAAAGGTATGATGGGAGTCACTATTTTCCACAAGAATTCTTTTGGACATTCAATGTGTCTCTGAAGATCAAGATCTTCAACTGGAAATTGCATCGGGGGGTGGGGGGATCTTAACTAAGGAGAATCTAGTCAAAATACGACGAAAGGGAAACAAGAAACATTACCTTTGTATTGGAGACAAATTAAACTGTGTCCTACTATGTGTCCGGTGCTGCTTGTGCCACGCTGCCGTGCGACCAAAGACGTGGGGAGCTGTGAGAGAGAAAGAGAGGGGCAGTGGGTGGTGGTGGTGAGGTTAGGGGCGGCCGGGAGAAGAGAAGGGACGAGCGGAGGAAGGTGAGAGATTGGGAGAGGGAAAGCAGATCTGGAGAGGGGAATGGTGGCGGCTAAGGTTGGGAGATGTTTGGGGAGAGAAATTTTTTAGGTTAGGGTTAGGTTAGGTTAGGTCGTGTGGTTTTGTTTTTTGGCTCATTTCAATCCCCCCCCCCTAATTTGCGCCCACTCTCATCTTTACCCCTAAAAACAAATCATCTTCTCAACTTTTCCCCTCTTTTGTCAACTTCGCTTATGGAAATACCCCTCTGAGCCGTTTCTGTCTGGTCAAAGGCCTTTGACCATCTAAGGGATGTTTCCTGGGCATTTTTGCCCCTCTGTGGATATGTCCCTTACGGGTGGGACCCACCTTCATGAAAAAAACTCTCTTTCTTCCACTTACATGTGGGCCTAACAATAAAATAGAAATAAATAAATAGAAGGAAAAATTCTCTCTCTCCCTACCACACAACACTAGTTCAACTCCGGCGAACCCGACGCCCCAACCCTACGCTGCTGCCACCGCGAGCTCCAGACACATCTCAACACTCTCCTTATCCTCCCCTCTCCATCTCTCTCTATCTCACCCTCATTCTATCTCTCATCCTCTAGCCCTCTCCCACAAGAACACCCGAGAGCGTTCGATCGCCATCGTCAGGCAGGCACGCGTCCAGCGGTAACCCCAAGTGCCACAACCTTGCTAGGAGCTCTGTGGAGATGTTGTCAACCTCTGAGCCGACAAATTTGAGCAGAGAAAGCCATGACAGGGTGTCACAATGTCATCTTCCCCACCTTCACCTTCGGACCGCCGCTGTTAATTTTGATGTCGTTGAAGCACACCAGCCAATACCCGCCGCGCTTTGAGGATCCCGAGGTGCCACATTGACATCGTCCACTACAAGCCCATGACCTAGGGTCGTCTTCCTTGTGAGCTCCAAGCCCTTCCATATCTGTCACCATCGATTTCCTCACTCCGGTATTTCCAGAGCCCCAATGGTGTGCCATCGTGCTCCAGTTGAGCTCCTTAAGCTATCGCACCATTTACCCCTCTTAATCTCGCATGATAGCCGGCTCTCCGACTTGCGCTGCCCACAGCCGGCGTGGGATTGGTCGCTGCCATTCATGCCAGTGACCATTTAGTCCAAAGCCACCATCGCTGGATGCGGAACAACCAAGGCTATCGCCTGATGCCATCGCTCGGCCTCCCTGCAGCTTCCCGGCGTGCCTTCGCCAAAGGATTTGGTCGCCGTCGGCAAAATTCGGCCCAAACCCTTCATTTCGTTTTCCCCCTTTTCTTTTTTAGTTGGCCTCACATGTAAGTGAAACAAAAGAGAAACGAGAGAGAGTTTTTGTAAAAAAAAATCCATAGGTATGAAATGGTCCCATATGTAAGTGACATATGCAGCGATGGTAAAACTGTCCAGAGAACGTCCCTTAGACGGTCAAAGGCCTTTGACCAAACGGAAATGGCATAGACGGGTATTTCCATAAGCGCACTTGACGGAAGAGGGGCAAGGTTGAGCACAAGATTTTTTTTAAGGGTAAAGATGAGAGTGGGCGCAAGTTAGGGAAAAAATGGAATTGTCCCTTTCCTTTTTTGTTCCTTTCTTTTCTACTATTTAGTAAACCTTATCATTTTCGGAAATACCAAAATAATGATCTAAAATTATCCATGATTGTTCTACATTGAAGATAACACAGTCCTGTTGGGTTTCTCTCCTAGGTCAAAAGGTCCCCAACTCCTTAGCTGATAACCAATAACGAGCTTCTTCGTAGAAAGACCGGAGCTGGCGATCGTTCGACTTGCTATGCTTTATGGCTTTGTTTGCTAGGGGAAAGATTCTTGGTAATATGGAGTTAATGATAGATCGAACCAATATTTTTACACTATGTGGGAAACCAACTTCTCCTTCCCAACTCCGCGGAGTTAGGCCGTTTGGCCCAATTCTGACCGTGGAGTTGGAAGAGCTAGTAGCTAGAGAGATACCAAAATGGCCTACATTACATAGTAATATGCCTTCGTTTTACTTATGTTTATGTAATAATTTGGATCTCATACTTTTGAAATGGCACATTAAGAAATAATGTGAGGCAGGTCCAAAGATTACTGACCCAGAAGGATCCAAAAAAAATCGCATTCAACACACACCAGTACATCTTACATGTCAAAACCTGGCATTTTTCAGTGTTCATGTGCTATTTTAAGGCACTACATTTATCGACATTCGATATATTTCAAATTGAACTACAAGTCTATGAAAAAACAGCCACTAATTGGTTGAAAATTCATGTTTAGGTTATTGGGTATATTTGTAGGTCTTATACAAAGAAAATATATTTTTTGAACATTCAGCATACACCATTACATCTTCCATGTGCAAATTTGCATTTTTCTTAATCAATTTTCTATTATCTAGCCATTAAATGAATTTCGAGCTATATAGTGGGTACAATTCAAATTTGAACTACATGTATATAGAAAAAGGCCTCTAAATTTAGAAAACTGTGGATGTTTTTTTTAGAATTAAAACTGAGGATTTTCTAAAAGAAAAAGAAAAATGAGGATGTAAAGACTAAACAGGAGGTCTGAATTGGGCCTTCCCTTGAACCAAATCTCGTCTCGGCTTTTTTGGTCAGCCCACACAACACTGTCCCAACGGTGTCACCTTCAGGCTGGCTTTCTCTCGTCCTCTCCCCGGCACACCGCACATGGACGGCACACCGGCGCGAACGCGGCGGCGGCGGCGACGGCGACAAGGTATCTCTCCTAGGTAGGTCTCTCCGGCTTGAAGCTAGACTATTATCACGAGGGGCTGATGGATTAGAGTCTTAGTTCGTCTTACTTCTCTTTGTCTGCTCCCCCGCCCCCGCCATAAACTATCAGCTCCGGACCCAGCGAAATCGATTAATTGGTAGTCTCTACCCGGAGATCCCGTGCCTGGTGATTGTTGCGTAGTGCTTAATTTTGACTGTATTAGGGTAATGGACGCTCAACACATTTGGGGATATTTTCTGGAGACGTAACCCTAGCGGCGATGAACAGTGTGATGCCAGCTCAATCAGTTTGATATTTTTGGTCAGAAATTATCCCTAATGCTGCTGAACAATGTGGGGTGTGTTTTTACCTTGTACTAGCTTCATGAATCGCCCGCGGTCGCAGTGGTGGATCCAGAAATTCAACTTTGGATGTTCAATTTGTTTTTCACCCTAACAGAGAAGCCAACTGGGTTCACACAATACAAATTGTTCACAATAGCAATAATATATTACAAGATTAATGAAATTGTTCACTGTACTCCATAAAGTTTTCAAATCAATGTTCTTCCTCTTAAGTTTTGAATGTGCCTACAATTCAAAGACAATTCATTTGTTATTTTTCTGCTATTTAAATCAACCAGATCCTCACTCATGTGACACCTATAGATCTATATCTCTCTGAATCCGAATATAAGCAACACACTTAGTTAGGGATTTCACAACACATTCAGGCCCAGTTCTTTTGCCAGAATCTGGGGATTCTCCCAGAATCCGACCCCTACCCAGCTTCTCCTAGAATCTTTTAGCCCCATTTGTTTTACAATCCTATCTAATTAGACTCTAACTAGATAGGATTGTAAAACACATGGGGCTCAAAGATTCTGGGAGAAGCTGGGTAGGGGTCGGATTCTGGGAGAATCCCCAGATTCTGGCAAAAGAACTGGGCCTCAGTGAACATTGCAATTTCAGTATTGGAAAAGGATTTACCTTAGGCTCAGAGATTGAGGTTGTTGCTGCACTGGTATGGCATTGACGACCGCAGCGGCCGCCGCCGCGCCGCTCGTCCGGTCGTCCCCACCTTCGGTGCATCGCAATCCCCGTTGGCGGCAGCGGGCGCGGCACTGCGCAGCTTGCCTGTGTCCTCCGCAGCGGCGAAAACCATGGGATGGTCCATCCCGTCCGGCGCCGGTGGCTTGGTCGAGCTCTCCCTCGCCAGACTCTCCGTGGGCAGCAACGCGCCGCCGCCTTGTCCATGGGCTGATGAAATCGAAGCGTCTGTGTTTGGCTGGTGGTTGGCTGCGTGCGTGAAGACAGCTCGCTGCTGGCTTTGCTGCTGTTGGGCTCGCTGCTGCTTCCGAAATGGCCTACTGATGGGCCTATAGGCTGCAGATTATCGTCTCTGTGATACGTATATACGATTTTTTTCAGAAAATTTTGGGTGTACGTTTGTACACCCATGACCAATGGTGGATCCGCCCCTGCGCGGTCGCATCTTTTATCGTGGTTCCACCAAACTAACCATAGCTATCTTGGATATTTTCAAGTCTGCCTTGCTATTATGCTGGATGATGGTTTAAATTGATCTTGCACCCTTCCTGTGGGGTTTTTTCGAAATGCATTGTCTCGATATTGAAATCAGATCCTTTTTTAAAGTCACCCTAAGAAAAATTATGATATAATTTCCCTGGGGCAATTGTTTAAAACATGACATAAGCACACATGGTGCATCACTTTTCTTTGCAGTGCAAGACTAATGGAAGACGACTATGCAGCACCACATCTTCCTATGGACATCATGTACAAGATCCCGACACACATCTCTGATCCAGCCTCCCTTGCCCGCCTCGCTTCATCCAGCAAGTTCTGGCGCAGTCTCATCAAGGACCCGACCTTCCTTGACTGCCTTAGGAGGAGGCACCGCGACCACGGTTTCACCCCTTCCCTCCTTCTTGGCTTCTTCTACCAGGACAAGTCTCCCTCAGACCTCTGGAAGTATCACATTGACAAAACCCGCTGTTTGGCGCCAAGCTTCTTGCGGATGTCTGAACTGTTACGCTTTGTTGGTAGCAAATCTGCTCGCCATGCTATCAAGCTACTATCCCTTGAGACCTTCATTCCAGGTCTTGGTGCAAGCCTTAACTTCTACAAGCCCATTGCATCCCAGGACAGCTTCCTGGTTCTGCGCCGCCAATCAGAAGTTGCCACTCCCAACGGTCAGGCCCTAAATGATTTGCTATGTGTCTGCAATCCTCTCACTGGCGAAACCTTTGAGATTCCTAGCCACAGATATGTACCTCCTGACCATTATGCCTTGTTTGTCACCAATGATGTCGACATTTATGGACGCATGTCCCAGTCCTTCCAACTAACAGGCATTTGGATAAGAAAGGGAGATCGTTTCATCTGTGTGTGCTACAGCTCGAAGAGTGGAACATGGACGAGGTCTCAAGGAGTTCCTCAGCTAATGCATGACCTTTATTTGGTGTTATCCTCAGCCGCTGCTTCTGACGATGTCATCCATTGGCTATGTGGTAGCTGGAAACAAATGTCGCTCATTCACGTTGCCACGCTGCACATTAGCAATATGAAACTGTCATACCTGGAGCTCCCACCCGAAGCAAAGCGCAACATGTTTCCATTGCTGGGGAATTCAGCAGACGGGGGGATTCTGTTGGTCATGGTGCAAGGGTTTCAGATGACACTTTGGAAACACAACAGTGCGCTTGGCACTGACTCCAGCAGCTGGGTGCTTTCTGAAAGGATTGACATGAGAAGTTCGTTGCCGCAGCGAGTGGCCACGTTGGAGATCTGGGCAGAGGTCAGGTTGGAGATGTTCCGAGGCAAAAGTGGTACGTTGGTGCTCTGGGTTGATGGGGAAGGCCTCTTTATGTTCAGCCTCAGCGATAGGTCGATGAGGAGGATTGACAGTGCAAATGTAACCAAGAAGTACTTCCTCTGCCCATATGAGATAGATTGGCTGTCCTGCCTTGCAATCACGAACCTTGTCGTTGATGGCTCGCTGTCTCTGGACTTAGAAAGGGAGAAGGCCCAAGGCAGGTGGAGGACATTAATGGGGATGAATTTGGAGACAAATGGAGCATCTTAATTGCCAGGAACATCATCAACCTGGCAACCATTAATTCTAATATTGTCGAATGTGTTTCCTTTTGTATGAGCATCATAATGATGACTATTAGTATTAGTTTGTTACTTCATTCTAATGACATTCACCGTGAAACCTTTTCGCTCTTGTGTCCTAATGAAATGCAAGACTTCCTAAGCTGTGTTTTTAGTTGAACTAAGCTGTGTTTTTAGTTGAACTAAGCTGTGTTTTTCTAATGAACTGAGCTCTGGTTAACCCATGTTCTGTCTTTGCATCTGAGTTGGTTGGCCATTCTGCTGAAGGGTTGTGCAAGTAACGCCATGGTAGCATGGTTGTTTAATTTTGCTGGTACCATGAATTACTGAAATTCAGAATTGCATCATGGTATTGTGACAAGCTTCTTTTTTTTTGCGGGGTGTGACAAGCTTCTTCAAACCGTTGTTTTTCTTTTAAAAAAAATCCAGTGATCTGCTGGGTTAGTCAAAGAAACATGTGCAATAGGCCAGCTTGTGTCAGGTAAACTGAATTTGCCCTTGTGTTTCTAATCTCTGGGCTGTCTTATCTAAATGCCTCTGGATTTTTTAAAGGACCAAGTTGGTTGTAGAGTTTAGGGGTAGTCCACTAATCACGCCCTGAGAACAACTTAAAACTTGTTTCTTTTATTGCCTATCCGTTACCTACTTGTGCACTGAAAAATGTACTGAGTTTTGTGAAACGTTACACAAAACTAATGTATCCTTCATACCTGAAATGAGATTTGAGTTGTGATCCTAGACAATCCTGGCAGTGGCAGAACTCTTCTTTGGTAAAATGTATCCTGCGGAATTGTATTTTTCTTATCCTGAAAAGAAATGGAACTAATGCAATGTTTCGACAGTTTCTTTTTGAGGAGCCTCTAGAGAATGGGATGAGAGAGAAAAGGATACATTACTTTTCGAATATTTTAAGCTTTAAATATTTTATGACGAGCCTCTAGAGAACATTTTATGTTTATCCCTTTTAAGCTTTAAATATTTTTTTCCACAATGTATAAACATATATTCACACACGTATTAATAACCTATTTTATTCCACGAACCTTTATAAAAACACATGCACTTCTTTGACACATGAATATATTTTTGTATACATAAACACATTTCAATTACTCGTTGAATATTTCATTTCATATACATGAACATTTTTTTAATTCAGATATATGATTTTTTTGCGTACATACGCTAATGGTTTCTTTATCTTCTAAAAAATACATTATTTCTTTTTAACAACACATTTTTTATAACCTGCTAATCAAAATACATTTTTCCTTAACTAGTGATTCTGATTTATTTTTTTCATAAAAATTGAGGACATAAATGGGCCCGTGCCGTTGCTGTAAATGGGTACATGAGTCACAATATGGGCAAAGCTTGTCTGGGCTTTTTTGCTCAGCCCATACAACACTCTCAGCGGCCTTTTGTATTGACCGAGCCGTACAACGTGGTGCCTCTTGTATTCACGGCGGAGTCACACCTTTCTCTCGTCCTCTCCGCACGCACGACGGCACACTGGTAGACAGCTCTCGGCGAGAACGCGGCGGCGGCGGCGGCGACAGCGGCCAGGTTTCTCTCTTACTCCTAGGTAGGTCTCTCAACTTCGAAGCTAGACTATTATCATGAAGGGCTGATGGATTATATACATGGTTGATGTCTGGTGATCTGGTCTGCTCCCCACGCCTCCGCCATAAACTGTCAGCACCCGAGCCAGTGAAAATCGACCGAATGATAGTTTCTCGTAAGTGTTCCCTTGGTTGGGGGTTGTCGGCTTGTCGCGTTGTGATTTATTTTGACTGTAGTAGGCTAATGGAGGCTCTACATATTTGGGGATATTTTCAGGAGACCTAACCCAACGGCGATGAACAGCGAGTGCTGATCAAGCAGTTTGATATTTGTGGTCAGAAATTACTGTTGACAATGTGGGATGTGCTTTCACCGTGTAGCTTCATGAATCGCCCGCCGTCACATATTTTAGTGCGGTTCTACCAAAATAACCATAGCTCTGTTGAATATTTTTCAACTCTGCACTATTTTGCTGGATAATGGTTTAAATTGGAGTTGCAGTCTTCCTGTGGGGGTTCTTCCAAATGCATTGTTTCGATATTTCAGTCAGATCCTTCTATTAAGTCATCTTAAGAAACTTTTTTTTATATAATTCCATTGGGCCAATTGTTTAAATCATGAGGTAAACACACATGGTGCCTTGCTTTTTTTTTAGGGAAGGACCAATGGAGGAGGATGATGTTGCACGGCATCTTCCTATGGACATCATGTACAAGATCCCAGCATACATATCTGATCCAGCCTCCCTTGCCCGCCTCGCTTCGTCCAGCAAGTTCTGGCGCAATCTCATCAATGATCCGATCTTCCTTGATCGCCTTAGGAGGCGGCACCGTGACCATGGCTTCACCGCATCCCTCCTTCTCGGCTTCTTCTACCAGGACAATGAAAGGACTTCCCTAGACCCCTGGGAGCATCACATTGACACCCGCTGTTTGGCACCAAGCTTCATGTGGATGTCTGAATTGTTACGCTTTGTTGGCAGCAAATCCGATTGCAATGCTATCAAGCCACTATCTCTTGAGACCTTCATTCCAGGTCTTGGTGCAATCCTCAACTTCTGTAAGCCCATTGCATCCCAGGACAACTTCCTGGCCCTCCACCGCCAGTCGAAAGACGCCAATGGTCAGGCCACGAGGGATGTGCTATGGGTTTGCAATCCTCTCACTGGCAAAATCTTTAAGATTCCTACCCTCGAATATACGCATCCTAACCATTATGCCTTGTTTGTCACCAATGATGTCAACATTTATGGACGTGCGTCCCAGTCCTTCCAGCTGACTGTCATTTTTTGGATAAGAAAGACAAAGAGTTTCACCTGCGTGTGCTACAGCTCAAAGAAGACTGGAAAATGGACAAGGCCCCAAGGTGAACCTGAGCTAATGCCTGGCCATTACTTGGTGTCATCCTCAGCCGCGGCTTCAGGCGGTGTCATCCATTGGCTCTGTGGTACCTTGAGCTTTGGCTTGTGTAAAGTTCCAGGGACTAAGTGTATCCTGGAGTTCAACGAGTGGAAGCAGGTTGAGCCCAAAGGAAAGCCACTTACGCAGGTCTGGTTGCGGTTTATAGGGGCTCCATCTAAGCCTCTGCAGGATGCTCGAGTGGTGGCCAGTTTAGGCATCATGGTTGGAAAGACAGAGAAAGTGGATATGGCTTTCACGCGTGCCCATGGGGTTGCACGGCTTTTAGTTAGCGTTTTGGATATTGAGTTTGTGCCTGATAAGGTCAACTGGACCTATAAGTGAGAGGTGTTCCCGCTAGAGATCGAGTTTGAGGACACCGATTTATTTGCTGATGTTGTTAATGGTAATGATGTTGACATGCACGACAGGGATGGTAATGCGGGGGCCAAGGGGCCACCGTCAGATGAGCCCAATTGAGAGGGGTCTAACGGTTCTCACCCACCTTCTCAGTCGCCTGGGGAGGGGACCTGGGTTGAGCCCGCAGCTTCACCAGCGGTGCCCATGACTACTTTGCGTTTTGGGTCTTTTGAGCCAGCCTCGGCATCTCCCAGACTCTGGAGTGACTGGGTTGAGTCTGGTGATTGTCTTGAGCACACGCTCCCTTCGTTGGAGTTCGAGGGGGAGGCTGGTTGGTCTGCTGGACGACAGGTGAGGACTTTGGTCGGCGCTACGGAGAGGAGGCCGGAGGGTGCTTCTCTTGTTCTGGCGCCTCACGCGGACGCGACTGCGGAGTCGGCGACTGCGGTCGCGTTGGGTTGTGGGGGAGGGGGTTCAGGGCAGGTGGCCCCGTCTTCTCCCGTCCCCATAACATCCCGGTGGCGTCGGTGACGCCGGCCCCGAGGGGGTCGGACGGTGCTGCGAGAGGGAGCCCGAGGCAGGAGGCCTCGGCTCCTGCTACTCCGTTGGTGGTAACCACGGAGGTTGCTGCTGCGTTAGGGGGGACGCCGGGGCAGGAGGCCCTGTCTCCTCCCTCTCCACCGACGGTCAGGAGGACCACCTCGCCGATGGCTCTTTCGTTTGAGCTGGCGGCTGGGGTGGGAGGAGGATGCGGGCAGGCGGCCCCACTACACCCTCCTCGACACTACCTTTGGCAGGGGTCCCTGGTGTGGGGCACCTGTCTCAAGGGATCGGGAACCTGCAGACGCCATCTCTGGTAACTTCGGCACCACCTTTCAGGGCTTCAGTGCCAGGTTTTACTAGGGAGGAGGTTGTCGCATTTGGTGGGATCCCGGACCCTATCTCTGAGGGGAGACGGATGAGTGCTCGCATCCTCGACATCCCTGAGGTGGACGATATGCAGCAGCAGTGCGCTATGAGGGCGGCCAAGCTTTAGGATGCTGCTTTATCTTCTGGTATGTCCGTCAACCTATCTAATTCCTTATTGCATTTTTCTAATGAGGACATTATAAATAATGCAAACCAATTAGGAGTTTCACTAGGTGCTACGGATAGTGAGATTACCAATTCGGTGAATGATCTATTAGATTTGGAGGCGGAACGTGCTTTAGAGACTATTCGTAATCTTGCAGCAGTTAAACCAATGAATGATGATGAGATTAATGCGTTAGGGGTTAGAGTGCTCGATAATCTGCGTGCGGATCTAGCACCCCCCATTCATGACGCTGAGGAAGATGATGCACCCCTAGGGAATGATGCTAGTCATATTTGTGAACCCGGTCATGAGGACCGGGTCACTGAGCTTAGTAAACCTAAGCGTAAGTGGAAACGGAAGATTTATCCCGATTCCGCAGTTCGTAGGAGTGCTAGGATTCGAACCACTAAAAAATTTCATGATGAAATATGAGAGGAATTTTTTGGAATAGCAGAGGTCTGAAGGACTTGGCTAAAAGAAGATTCCTGGCTGAGGCAGCTTTAGAGCAGAGGTTAGATTTTATTGCTCTATCGGAGACGGGTAGAGATAACTTCGCACCACAGTTTCTCTCCT